TCACGGACTATAAATGTGTTTGAATGGTATTATTAACGAATGCAAATCATTTCCTAGACGCTTCCTTTCCGATTGTGTGGTCCTAAATTTCTAATAATCCTCAAAGTCTTTCAGTGTTTTCAACGCACAACGTTCCAGCCTCGAAATATCGAGACTCTGGTAACTGCACAAACCCAGTTGAGGTTGGCTTGAGTCTGAGCTTGCCTAACTCAGGTGGGGTTGTGGATTTCCCGCAGATTTTCAAGTATGGTGCACAATAACACAGCATAAATCTTGTTGAAAATTTCGGGTTTATATTTCATTTTTCGATCGTACCTTGGCCTTCTTTATGTTACGAAACATCAGGACAAAGCGATGCTAAAAACGCAGGAAATTGCTAATATTTCCATATGAGATGTTCCAATATAACCCTTTTACAATGTGAATGTGAAATTTCGCTCTCTCTAGATATATAGGCGTCACCAATGTCGAATCAGCTGTAAATAAGACACTAACAAAAGATTACTGTATTCTAGAATGCGGGTCCGAACAAGTTCTTATTTGGTGACTCTTGATGGGGTAAGATATGCTGAGAATCTTTCGAGAAAAAAAAACGGAAACTGAAGAGAAGAACTTTTGAGTAAGTACGAGAAACACCTCTGCTACACGAAACTAGGCCATAAGGCCCGTTGTCTTAAGTTCACTCTCGATCTCGAAACTCGTGGAGTAAAAATTAATTGGCTGTCCAATCCCGCCCTCTTGGCGTTCTCTATTTCCACGGGGTCGATATATCTCATGCTGATAGTGGGTCCCGTAATTCTCCAACTATGAATAACTTCCACACGTGCCAGCATGGCTTCGTAGATTGCACGCACACGCGACCGCTCGGCGGCCCTGTCATATTTTAGGGACGCAGTTGATATTGCTCCTCTATGAAATTCATGTGAAGAAAAAGGGAACTCACATATTTTCAATAAGGCATCGGTCTTCGATGATGTTATTTTCTCCGATTATAATTGGTCCGTTAGTGGCTTTAACCATAGCGAATGGATGAACAACGGTACCAGCTCCTATGCGTACGCAACCTTCTAGTAACGCCTCTCGACAAACAATCGCTGTTGGGTGTATCTCTACGCTAAAACGGTCTATGGTTGTATTGGTATGGAATAATTTGAAAAATCAAGTGCTATGAACCAGAATAACGATCGTGGAGGGATAAGCAGTACCACTAGGGCCTTTACGAATCGAAAACCGTAAATCAAACAAACCCCTCCGGCAAAGATTTCTCCACCATTGGCACGAGTCCCTTTCAATATGAAGCACCCAAAAATCTGTAACAGTTGTTATACATAATATGTCTTCATTTTATAAGTTAAAGAAACAATCAGAAGACGAAAAACAGATGCAAAACGGGCACAATCGTGATCACTGAGTAGCCTTTTTAGTATAACTGGGTTCGTTTATAGTGCACAGATAAAAAGGAACCTCTTATTGCAAAATCTCACTCCGGACATTCGAATGTGTGAATAGCTGTTGCAATATTGGTTGTCAGAATTATTTGATGAACTAGTCAAAACTAGTGAAAGCTAGTTTATAGTGAGCGATTTGCCGCCAAGTCGCCATGTCGCTGACTACAAACTCGTTTGAACAGATTTGTCAGTTAATGTCATAGTCCACCTATTGTGTTACTTAGTAACCTTCATAGAAAAACATGCACTGCGATTCAGATAGAACCGTCAGCCTGGGTTACTATACCATAAAAACTGTGGACTGAAAAATCCATGTATTCATACTAGGAAATTTTTTCTGAGGAAACCTTGGGCAATGCAAGCTGCAACTTTGGAAGGAATCCCTGGCTTGGACGACACAATCTTGTACTGGCCTCAATTGTAGAGTGGTGCTACAGAATCCGAAAACTGCAGCTCCGACCAATGGCTACTTTCACACTTCGACGTCCGTTCTTCCTTTCAACGCGTGCTGCGACGGCGGTCGCGTGCGTGCCGCGACCGCGGTTCTAGAAAACTGATGGCAGACTGGCACGTGATCTAGTGTTGTCAACACCTTTCTAGAACCGCAGTCGCGACACGCACGCGACCGCTGTCACAGTACGCGTTGAAGGGATGGAAGGACGGAAGTCGAAGTCTGAAAGCAGCTAATCGTTGTTTCCCTTTGCTCACAGTCGTTCTTGAAAATTGGACTCTGGGTGTTCGTGCATCGGCATGAAGAGGCGATAACTTATTTTATGAAAAATAATAATTCTTTCGTAAGTAAAGATCTATAAACAGGTAGAAAATGGGAAAGCTTTGCTACATTGAGAACAAACTTCAATTGAAAGAATCTGGTTCAGCTGAAACCATGTCGTTTTGCCATATCATTCCGTAACCACATCGCTCCAATCAACTGTGGGATATTTAAATTTCTTGTGAACATCTGTACAATTCACAGTAGAAGGAAAACGAGGCTGTTATTTCCATGCAAGGGTCGGACTAGGGAGACAACTCATTCAATGGAAGAACCTACTTAAGGATGTCGTTGAAATCACATGGCTCCAAAGAGCAACGAAGTTTTGAAATCGAAACTGAAAAATCAAGGATTAACAATGCGCCGGTAGTACAATGACATTGTCCTCGTTCGAATGTAGTTAGACTCTTCGTTGGTATAAAAAAAACTTTGCACTTGGCTGCTATCGATTGATTGACAAGCGGTCAGTCGGTTTCTCTGTTAACCTTACATATCAATGTTTACTAGTTCCTTTGTTTATTTGTTTTGGAGACGGTTTGATGTTTTGTTTAGAACTACGTCCTTCCAAAGTCGCAGTCTGTTTGTTTTCAATGGTCAATAGTGTTTATTTTAATGGTATTCAGGAGAATGCAAAATGATTTTCTCACGGTGTTTCCATCAACGTCGCATAAACCTTCTGGTTATTTTGCAGTCATGAAAATAAAACGGTAAGCTCATATCTTTGCTGAGGTTTGAGCCACATCCTAATATTGGTCTCCTTCTTTACCCTTTAAAGTAGTTAATTTATTCCCTTTTATTAGTAGTGTCTTGAACTGTGTCCGACTGCAGTTTTTCGCATTTTTTTACCCCTTCAATTCCTTTCACCTTAGAAATCTTCGATTATCAAGTGTTCTTTTTCAACTTTAAGTTTATTCAAAGAAAACTTGCATTACTCTCTCAATATATTTTATAGCTTACTTGGTTTCAAAAGGATTAATCCTTCCTTGCATACATTGCACATGGATGCCTGGAATTGTTCTTATGTTTCTTTGAAATTTCAAATGCTTTGGTAGTGAAGCAAGGGTGGGGCAGCGCATAGTTGAAGCCAGCACAGTGCTTCAACCGAGTCCCGGATCGATATGCCATATTCAACAAAGCTTCTCATTCGGCTTAGGTCGATTAATTGGTTCCTTTCTCATCGGGGAAACAAAAATACTTCCGTGGACATTTAATGGCCACGTAAATCATTGCATAGAATAAACTTGCATCTAAGTGTCCCTGCAGCACTAAGCGAAAGTCGAATGCGTGGACGCATCCCAAATTAAATTGATCGGCGTCAGGAAGATTGCCTTTTCGTTCC